GATCCATGTGCCATTCTTGGAAGTTGATCTTGAGCCCTATAAATATCTCTAGTTTTGCCCACATTTTGAGGTTATGTGGCTACTCTATGCATAATAGGGGCAGGTAGCAGGGATCTGACTTTTCTTCCTGTGGGCGTTACTGGTTGGATAGGGTAGAACCTAACCCTGCTACTGGTAAAGTGCACTGGCAGCAGTGCTGGTGTCATTACATCACCCCTGTAGTCATGCGAACTACAAGGGGACGTGTTAATGACAACCAGTTGGAGCAGGAAGAGGCTGGGGTTACTCTGGGTGTCATGGAGCCGGAAAATCTGCAGGGCAAGACACTCCCTGCTTCCTGATGCCCACTCCTCCCTTCTCCAAGCCAGTAGATGGAAAGCTGCTGGAGACTGCTCTGTCCCTTGTGATCTTGTACTGGACAGGAAGTTCAGGGAAGGGGAACTGAGAGAGTTGGAGCCAGCTGTTCAGAAACATGATGACAGTAAGTGTTTGGGCATAAATGTAAAGAAATACTTTGCCGGGCACTGTTTAATTGTTTGAATTGGATTAATTATTGAAAAAAGTTTAAGCGTTTACTACTAATGTAAGTCATGGGAGCCTAAAGAAAATACTTTCTGTGGTTTATAATGGCAGGGCTGTTTGGATCTCTAGATATACATTTATCTCATTATCTGAATGGGCTGTTTATACGCAAGGTAGCTGATCTCCTAAACCACACAGCTAGAATAATGTTTTCCATCCGCTCAGTTTTAAGATCACTGGAGGTCATTGGCAGTGACTTTTCCAACACCCTCCAGTAATATAGATGACGCCCCAACATCCTCCAGTAATATAGATGATGCCCCAACACTCTCCAGTAACAGAGGTGATGCCCCAACACCCCCCAGTAACAGGTGATGTCCCAACATCCTCCAGCAATATAGATGACATCCCAACTCCCTCCAGTAACAGAGGTGACGCCCCAACACCCTCCAGTAACAGAGGTGATGCCCCAACACCCTCCAGTAATGGATGACATTTGTAGGAGGAGTGACTACAGAGAACTCTTCATTTTTAGAATTCTTTTACAGGTATATGACTATTGAAGGCACAGAGACTACATTAACAACGTGTGTTTTCCTGTGGAAGTTGTTTCAGGAAGTACACTTGAAAGTAAGGCCTGGAGCTATGGATTGCAGAGGAATGAGCAGAAGGCCTGCATGACCAGGCTGGGAAGGGGAACGAAGATAGGAAAGGGTTAAGAGAGAAGGTAAAAGGGTTATAGAAGGGTCACTTACGGGATTGGATGACGGGGTGGTCCAGGAGGGGCTTCAGGAAGGTAGTCAGGAAGGAGGGGTCCGGAAGTTTAGTTGAGAGTCCGGCAGCAGAAGAGGAACTTGGGGGGAGGATGGTGTCTTTGCGTGTTTTGTCACAGCTTTGGCTTGGCGGTTTGGATCCTTGGATGCAGTTTATCAGTGGTTGCATATCTTGACGGGGGACCCATCCGTGGTGTGGGTGTCCTTCGGTTGTCGTACGGTCATAAGGTATGACCGGGTAATAGGGACCAATGTGGGTCTGCGGGCAATTTAGTTACGTCCCCGAGGCGGTGTATGGCAGCTGGAGGCATTCAGGTACAAGTAAGGTGGCCGCAGATACTGGTCTGTTTAGAGTCATATTGCCTTCAAGGACCTTGAAACCAAATGGGTGTTTTACAGTATAGTTATTGGTTTGTTGTTGTTGTTATTTATAATGTTATTTAAAATGTTATTTATAATAAAAAGGCTGCTGTGGCCATTTAAACTCCAGCTGTTGTGTGGCGTATTGATTGGTTAACATGGGATGGGGTTTGAAGTTAATGAGTGTACTGGTAAAAGGGGCCTCTGAGCTACCTTAGTCATGTTGTATGCACAGTGTGCATGTAAAGGCCAAATTCTTTTATAAAACTACAGTGGCTAATGTATGAAGGTTGGAAAATAAGCTTGTTAATGTCTTGCACACATGAACCAGTCAGCTTCCATGTTACATGAACCGAGATCAGGTTGCAGAATTAGTATGGTCATTATTGAGACATTGTTAGGATGTGTGCCCCGAGGTTTCTAGCAGCTAGAAAGCTTAAATGCTTATAGACAAGAACAGTAAATATTATGCAGATGATTATGGGTTTTAATAATTTCCCAAAGGCCAGAAGTGCTGTATAAACAGTGGAATACATTAATGCTATTTACATAAAGATTAATAATATTCTGCAGGAAATTCAAACCGCCATACAACTGCACATGTGGTTTCTTTAGCCAGTTTAAGAGCCTAAATGCAAAAAGAGCTAGTAGCAAATGTTTAAACTGGAACCCCAGCCAAAATGTGTGGGGACAGCTGGACAAGAAGTGTGGGAAAAGTGACCTGGTGGAAACACAGACATCATTAAGCAGAACTCTAGTAAGAAAAAAAATAAAAAGCCCATTGAATTTAAACTGAAGCCAGGTCTTTTGTAGTTTTTGAAGCGTAAGGAAGGGTTAAAACACCAGTCCTCCTTTTTTTTTTGCCATCTGCCTCCAATTGGGGAGATCTTTTCCTCACTCCCTGTCCAATAGACGCGACAGGAAATAGAGATAAATTCCTGGTGGCCAGCAGGGCCCCCATTGGAAGATTTCCCATCTATTCCTGTTCTGATGATAACCCAGAATTTGGGATTTTCTTTCACTTTTAGTGATGACTTTCACCAGGACAAATAGAGAGGGTGAATCTCTCTAACGGAGACACATACAGCAATAAAAACCTGACAGGTGGTCTCCGCCTTTTTACTCTGTTCAAAACTAACCAAAGTTTTGGCTTTGGTTGAACTGTAAAAGATAAAAATGAACAAAAAACATTTTTTTCTGCTGTAGACATGTGCAGTAGACGTAAATGCAGTCTTCTAGGTTGAATGACACCTAGCATCATTCAACCCACTTCATCTAAGCCCATATTGTCATGAACCTGCCCAGGGGCGCCCTGAGGCCAGGTGTCACCCGGAGTGGAGAACGGGCGACACCACGCCGTGACGTCATCGCGCATGCGCCGTCATCTAATAGATGCCTGCCGGCGGCCATCTTGGTGATGGGCGCGGGCAGAGAGAGAAGGGGACCTTCACCCGGCGGGATGAGGTATACCGCCTGGTCCCCTCCTCTCTCCTGACACTGTTGAGCTCTCGGTCCATGACCAAGTGCCCGACTTTTTAGAGGGGGTGACACCAAGATGACTGTCAGTCATTTTATTGTCACCCCTCCAATATTGGCATCTCTTCTGCCATATTGTATTGTAAGGAAAGTAGTTGCTGTATATTGGTTCTAATTACTCTACCTCTGTAAAGCCTAAAAAGAACCTTGAACTCTATTTGGATAGGGTTGTTGGCCCCATACCTGACCAAGAACTTAAATATTCTAGACACTTCTTTTACAAAAATATACAGTAAACTCTGTTATCCTGTATTCAACTAACCAGAACTCTCATCTAACCAAAATAAAATCCACTGTGTACTCACTGTTTTGCTGATCGGCGGCATGTATTATCCTGAAAATGATCGTGTGTATATTTCTCTTAATTTGCTTTCGATTACTGCTTTTCAATATCAAAATGAAGTCATTACAGAGTTTGTTATGGTATAGTATAGGGCATGGCATCAGTTAGACCTATTTTAATAGTAGCTCTCAAGCAACCAGAAACTACATTTATCCAGAATCTATCAATCCCCGTGGATGCCGGATAACGGGGAGTTTACTGTATTGATTAAATAGAACGAGTCCAGAGAGGGGCAACACAAATAGTGAAATGTTTGAGGAATGAAACACCAGGTGAGCCTGCAGGAACCTGATATGTACAGTCTTGAAGGGGGGAACATGATTGAAACCTTTAAAATACATGAAGGGTGTGAATAAGGTTTAGGAGATCAGTATTTTCAAGAATATGAGGACATGACCTCAAACTAGAGGGAAGAAAGTTCAAAACTAACCTTAGAAAATATTATTTAACATATTTGATGCTTTGGACAGACTTCCAGCAGAGGTAGTGAGTCCGTCAGCGGTAAGTGAACTTAAAGGAGAACTATGAGGTGAGTGCTTTTCACTCACCTCATAGTTCTAGCCGACCTGTGACAATGAGACTGTCACAGGTCGGCTCAGTAGATCGGGAGGTGAGTGAACACATACCGGCGTTCGCTCACCTCTCGATCCTGTCACGGCTCTCTGCCGTGACAGGGGAGGGGCTGGAGGGGCAGAGCCAGCTGTTACTCACGCAGCTGGGCGGATCTCGACATCGATGTCAGGATCTGCTCCGGCTGCGACGTCTCAGTATACCGCAAGCTGTAGCTCGCGGTATACTGAGCCTAGGGTGGCGGGAGGACGCTATTTTGTGTCCTCCCGTTACCCTAAGGAGAACTATGGGGAAAAGTCCTGAACCCATAGTTCTCCTTTTTAAGACATGCTTGGGACAAACCAAGATATATGCTAAAAGGTTAAAAAAAATAAAAAAAGGAGCAGCCTGGATGGACCACTTGGTCTTTCTCTGCCATCACTCTTTGATGTTTCTATCCCTTTTTATGAGGGTCACTCCAGAACCTTTCCCAGCAAGGGTGGCCCTACTGGTAAACATTTTTGTGCCGATATAGCTGTCAGGGTCATTCGGTCACACAGGCCCAACACTCAAAGTAGGCATTTACCATTAATAAATCTACTCTTTCACCAGTTCATTTATTTTAGCACTGTAATTGCTATTTAATACAGTCATCTGCATTTTATCTGGGACACAGATCCTTTTTTTTAGCTATTTATTATTTTGGTTCATGTATTTTAGTCTATATGGAGTGGGGTGGCGCTGATAGGGCTATATATTAACGACACCGAGTAGGTTGCATTACTGAATATCCTATTAACCTTGTGCTTCCAATAACTCCTCCCTATGTGTGAGATGATTATTGCATGCGTATAATCCTCTCCAGCTACTGTCCCGAGTGCCTGCTGAAACCTGACATTACCTTTGCTCCCTGACAGGCTCTGCACAGATGAATAACACTACGGCTGAACAGTTCTCCACCATGGAGCCTAATGAGTCCATTTTTACCCTGGATCCCACGACAGGTCAAACTACGTCTGGCAGAGTGGTGGATATATTTAGTATGGACAGCGAGACTGGTGCTCAGCTTCGGACAGCTGCCAATAACACTATCGATGGAGATCAGTTATTCCTAACGACAGCGGCCGCACAGGGCATCTCCGGGCTGTTTGTGTGGACGGCTCTGCTGCTGACCTGCCACCAGGTAAGAGGTCATTTAAATGCTAATTAATGATGAATCTAGAAGACGTATAAAACTCTGCAGACAGGAGCATCATCTTTAAAGTATATGCAACTATGAACTTTTCTTATTTGGTCCATGTTAAAGTATCACTAAAAACTAGACCTTTTTTTTTTTTTTTTTACCGTAATCCATCCTTTCTGTAACCCCCATCCCCCCCTCACTTACCTGTGTTCAGTCGTCTCCTCCGCAGGGACCTAGAAGATACTCAGCTTTCCCTGAACTTCCGTGTCCTGTGGGAGGGTACTAAGGGCAGAGGAGCCATTGGACAACTAGACAGCTAGAGAACCAGGAAACTAAAACATTTAAATAAGAAACAAAATAGTAGTTCAATCAAATCTGCCCCTCATAATAATAAAAATAAAATAATGAAAGTTTAACCCCTTAAGGACAAAGGCCTTTTTTTAATTTCTTGTTCAAATGTAATAATCCACAGTGTAGGCCTGAAAATTACTTAAAACCCCCAAACATTATATATTTTCTGAAAGCCAAGACTCTATAGAATAAAATGGTGGCCGTTGCAAATTTTTATGTTGCACGACATTAGCGCAATTTATTATCGAACCCCAAAATTTAGTGAAAAATGCATTTTAGTTACATTTAGTGCCCCAAAACTCAATATAGAACCTTTACCTTTTTTTCTTTTTTTTAAATATAAAAGATGAGGTTACAACGAGTGAATAGATACCCAACATGCCCAGGTTAAAATTGTGTGTGTCCATGAAACTGCAACAGAATTCAGTACCCTAAAAAGTCCATAGACAACGCTTTAAAAGCCCCTACTGGTCATCAGTTTAGAGATGCATGTAAATATTGGCCCTAGAATTCTTGCTCTCATTCTGGCGTGTGTGGCGATACCAAACATGTGAAGCGCAATTGTCTTTTTCGTACGTAGGCGCACCCGACGTGTATCTTGCCCCAGCACAGTACAGAACTTTTTTACATTCACAAATTATCAAATTGTTGGTTTAGATTTATTGGTTTTAATGACTTGTATTCCACTGGAATTTATGTCATTATGTATACCCCATATCTGCACATGGTTTGATATAAGTAAATTACTTTTAATAATTTAACATGCTAAGGGGTCTATTTATAAATATTTTGTCCAACTGTACCACTGGGCCAATGCCATTCACATGCCACTTCCGCCACTAGATAGAGTTGAGGAGGAGAGGAATTCCCTACACTCCTTTTCTCCATCTAGTGGTGGGAATGCCATTCGAACGAGATTCATCCAGCATATGGCTGCGCAGAAGGTTTATAAATATTATATTATTGTTACACCGTGTGATTTTAGAATCAAAAACTCTTGTTTTAGAAGTTCCTTATAAGGGAATTGTTGTCTTTGAATCTGTTAAAACATAACAGTAATAATGACAATCCACAATCTTGTAGCCGAGCAGATTGAGCATTTCCATGGCTCAGAAGCAAATTGTCCCTGGAAATTATTTGAAATTATTGGCAACTGTGCACCATGAAACTATCTAGTGCCATTTAATTCTTCCTTTCGTTATCTTGCTATTATTATCTAGTCACATGTTCCTTTCCATGATGCTACAGTGTGGGAAAAATAAAGCCTCTGAGATAATGGTTGATTGTAGCACGAGGTATTGAGTCATAGCTGTCCGGATGTTAAATATCAATCACGTTAAGTCACTTATGAGCCCGGTAATGGTCTAACCATTTAATCATCAGCAGTACAGGGGTAATAGGGCAGAACTGTTGAGATCACATGCTTTTATTGCTGATTTCTCAGGAGTGTTGTCATACCTACAGTGATATCTCCATCTGCCACTGGCTGCTCGCATGTTTGATCAGGGAAGTGACCCTTGCCCTGCGTGTACTGACAGCCCAGTGTTTCCAGTTGCCTTTTCTTCCTGTTAGCAGTGTGTGCTCACCTATTGATTGGCCATTGTCTGTTGAAAACTGCTGATAAGAGATTGGGGCCACTTCCAACACACCTCTTTCACTGGGTTGTGCCAGCTAAGTGAGTAATTATTGCACTGTTTAAGACCAAAAATGTAGCTGGTCATACTTCTCGAAGAAGAACTCGCAAGCAAAATCATTATTATTATTATATTATTATATATTATGTTATATTTTATTGTTGTTGATAATATTGTTATATTTTTTATTATTATTATTAATCCTTGCAGTGGGGGCTATTCCCGCACTGCAAGGATTAACTGCTCATTTTGGTGTAGGAAAATAAAAAAAAAGATGCTCATCCGATCCGGCGAGCTGGCTTGTACTAAGACTGGTTACAGGGACTCTCTCCCCCTCCGCTGGAGCAGTCTACGGCCCCATAAATCCTCACATTCTATACACAGTGAATAGGACGTGAGGACACAGGGGCATACTATTACTGCAGCATAGGGTAAGACAGGCTGGAGGGAGTGCTGTCCCAGCCGGCCGGATCAGGCGAGTATAACTTATTAAAGGAGAACTATGGGGTCAGTGTTTTTCTCCATAGTTCTCCTTAGGGTAACGGGAGGACACAAACTAGCGTCCTCCCGTCACCCTAAGCTCAGTATACCGCGAGCTACGGCTCGCGGTATACTGAGACGCCGCAGCCGGAGCGGATCCCGACGTAGATGACGAGATCCGCCCAGCTGTGTGAGTGACAGCTGGCTCTGCCTATCTAGAGGCAGAGCCAGCTGTACCCGCCCCTCCCCCGTCCGTTCCGCCAGTCAGCGCTGGCAGATCGGAGCGGGAAGGGGGGAATCCTGCCCCTCCCCCTGTCACGGCAGAGAGCCGTGACAGGATCGAGAGGTGAGGGAACCCGGTATGTTTGCTCACTTCCCTATCTACTGAGCCGACCTGTGACAGTCTCATTGTCACAGGTCGGCTAGAACTATGAGGTGAGTGGAAATCACTCATCTCATAGTTCTCCTTTAACTTGTTAATGTTATTTTTCTCCCTAGACCAAAAGTAGCAGTTAACCCTTGCAGTGCAGGGGTAGCCTTACTGCAAGGGTTGAGAAACATTTTCCCTAGAGTTCTGCTTTAAGGCCCAATTCACATGGAGCTTTAGGCTGCAAAAATCTGCGTTAAGAACCTACAGATTATTGGGATCCTAGGTGTGTCTGTAGCTATGCGGTCGCTGTACCTGTTTAAGTAAATGACGGGCTAACAGCGACTACATCTGTCAGTGGCTGTCCGCATGTGACCGCACATGATACGATTACCTTCCGTTTAGGATAGATTATTGTCCTTGGATGCAGGCAGTTTGCGTCCACAGATGAGCATCTCTTCCAATCCGCAGGTAATTGTTCCATGTAAGATCACCTGCAGATGGCCACTGACACATGGGGCCGCAGTCATCCTGTCATTCACTTTGGATGCAGCAGCTGCATCTGTCAGTGGCTGTCCAAATGTAATCCTACATGGAACAATTGCCTGCAGATTGGGAGAGATGCTTGCCGCAGGTTGGATAGAGTGATAAAGGGTTAAAACTATGATTACATGCGGACAGCCATGAACACATGCGACCACTATCAGCCGGTCATTTAATTAAACGGGCACAGCGGCCGCATCTATACCGACCCTCCTGGGTTTACTGGCACAAGAATCCATAGGTACATAATACATAATAGCCCAGTGTGCATGTAGAATTCGATTTCTTTCTAGAGATTCCGGTAGATCAATCGATTCTCCCATCCACACTAAAAAGGGTGAATGAAGGAATCTTCCCTGGCGGCTATTGTATTCAACAGTTGGTGGGTCCCTGCAGCCGTTTACTATCTGAACAGTGACTGCATCTGCTTTTGATGCAGTCACTGTTCGACTGGCAATTTTCCACCAGGGTACATTTTTTAATTGACTTTTATTGAGTGGGATGGTACCAACTGGGCAATCCACACAGGGGCATCCCTAGCCTTTTTGCTGCCGGAGGCGGTTGGATGGTGTAACGCTGAGCTCATGGCAAACAGTGATGTCACCTTACACATCTCTCCGCCTGTCTCGCAGCAACCTCGGACACTCTGGCCAGAAATGGGGCGGCAGGCACACTGCAAACGGCCAGTATACAACAAACATGCCACTCTGCCTACCACCCCACCATGTGACCCAAAAAGATGCCACCTGAGGCAAGAGCCTCAGTCTGTCTCATTATAGGGATGGCCCCTGGAATCAGCTGAAAGTTGAGCAGTGTATAGCCAGCTTAACCAGTCCTTAGATGTGGTGGCTGCATTCGTTTTTTTTCTTTTTCAAGGCCAAGTACATTTTCTGCAAGTGCAGAAAAATACCTGTTGATATTGCCAGAAATCCAGTTTCCTTCTAACTTACTGTGAACTAAACTGAGACCATGTTATCAGCCTTCTTAGGTCTATTCTGTGAACTAGCCAACTGTCAATCAGCCAGCGGGGTGAATATCGACAGTATTATTGGGATCCATCCTAGCTGCAGCGCTCTCAGCACATAGCGGGCAATAGCTCGCTATATATTAAGGGGAATTTATCAAAACTGGAGCAGACAAAATCTGGAGCAGCTGTGCACGACAACCAATCAGCATCTCTTTCATTTTCAACTCTTAACCGAACAAACTAGAGATAGAAACTGAAGCAGTTGCCCATGGTTTATATCCTTCCGTGACCCAAAAGATAATTATGGATAAAAAAAACGTCGCCCCATAGTTTTCCTTTAAAAAGAATTGAAAATTGCAGCTTACCTTATTTCCGTGGTGTTTCTGCAAACTCCAGGACTGAAAAATCCTGCTTAGTTCTCACTGTCTGACGGGTTAGAGGGAGTTTTTTCCCCTGATAATTAACCCTGTCCTTACTGTGCTTGCAGATTTCATTATCACTTGTAAGATAGATGAGCAGGACTGTCTGTCCTAACAAAGGGTTAAAGACCTGACAACATTGAGGGGGATTCATCAAAATCTGGAGCAGCTATGCACGGCAACCAATCGGCTTCTCTCTTTTCATTTTTAAATCTTAACTAAACAAACTGAAGAGAGCAGCTGATTGGTCGCCGCAGGCAACTGCTCCAGATTTTGTCTGCTCCAGTTTTGATAAATTCCCTACATTGTACGTTAATGAACTTTCAAAACAACTGTCCCTCAGTCAGTCCTTTATCAGCTTAAAGTCATCTATCATAACGACAAGAAGTGCCTGTAGGGTCCTATGTATAATCCTACTCCAAAGAAAAAGCTAAAAGGGACAAAATCTTTTATTATTGTTGTCGTTGTTGTTATTATCATTTATTTTTTGGCATGCTGTGTGAATGGGAACACATAACAAAAATTTAAAAGGGGTTTCTCAAATTTGTCTGCAAAAGTTAAAATATGCTTTAAGTGAATTTTATTCTACTGCTAATACTTTTTTTTTTCTCCTTACAGATCTACATTCACCTCAGAAATTACACTATCCCAAATGAGCAACGCTACATCATTCGGATCTTGTTCATTGTGCCCATCTACTCCTTTGACTCCTGGCTGAGCCTCTTACTCATCGGCAATGACCAGTACTATGTGTACTTTGACTCAGTGAGGGATTGCTATGAAGGTGAGGGAATTGTATGTCATGCTAGCTGCATTAAGCAGCTACAGCCTGACTCGCCAAGACAATAAAGCAGGCTGAGCAGCTGCAGATCTCAGCCATGATGGCTGTTACCAGTAATGTTTTTACAAAGGTGCAGATGATATAAAATAAAACTATATTGATTCCTCTATCCTTTTTTATAACTGATAATTTACTGTATATCTGTTTTATATTATGCTGTATATATACAAAATTGTAATATAGGACAAAGGATTCCCAAAGTACTGTGGGTTAAGAGACAGTGCAGCAGTAACTTTCTAACCCAGTTAGCTAAAAAGAACGGTACTGAGATCACAGCTGGAGCAGCATAATCTTGGTATAACCACACCAGGACCACAATGTGTGTGTGTATGTATGTATGTGTACATTTTATATATAGATAGATATAGATATAAACACACATATATATATA